CAAAAGGTCTTCACCAGCCACATTCTCGATGTCATGGCTTCCTACAACGCCAAGGCTACTTTCTTCATCACTGGAAATAACATCAACAAGGGACAGATTGACATCACTCCTGAGTTCAGCAGTGTTCTCAAGCGCATGGACTCTGAGGGCCACCAGCTTGCTTCTCACACTTGGACCCACTTGGACCTGAGCGCCATCTCCAAGCAGGACCGTTACAACCAGATGATCAAGAACGAGATGGCTCTTCGCAACATCGTCGGCAAGATCCCCACCTACATGCGCCCCCCGTACTCCAGCTGCACTGCTGAGTCAGGCTGCGAGAAGGACATGGCTGACCTCGGTTACCACGTCACATACTTCAACCTTGACACCGTATGCACTTCCTTGATCTCTTGAAAGGGTTCAGTTGCTAACACTATAAACAGGATGACTACGAACACGACAGCACCACCCTCATCCAATACTCCAAGGATGTTTTCCTGGGCAACGTCACCAGCGGTCCCGCCGCCAGCAACCAGTGGCTCGAGATTGGCCACGATATCCATGAGCAGACTGCCATGAACCTGACCGAGTACATGCTTTCCACCCTCACTCAGCTCGGATACAAGGCCGTTACTGTTGGTGACTGCCTTGGTGACCCCAAGGAGAACTGGTACCGCACTGCTGGTGGCGCTGGCTCTGGCAACGCGCCTAACCCCGCCACCTCTGGCACCGCCCCCGCTCCCACTGGAACCAAGCAGGTAACCACTGATGCTACTTGCGGTGGTACCAAGGGATACACCTGCTTGGGATCTACCTTCGGCAACTGCTGCAGCGCTGCCGGTTACTGCGGTACCACTTCGGCGTACTGCGGAACTGGCTGCCAATCTGGCTTCGGTAACTGCGGCAGCAACGGTGTTGCCCCTACGACCACTAAGGCTGCTACGCCTACCAAGGCTACTACCTCCAAGGCTCCCGTCGCCTCTGCTGCTGGCAAGGTCTCCACTGACGGCTCATGCGGTGGTACTTCTGGCTTCACCTGCGCTGGCTCATCCTTCGGTAACTGCTGCTCCCAGTACGGCTGGTGCGGAAGCACTACTGACCACTGCTCCACTGGCTGCAACTCTGCCTTCGGTACTTGCACTGGTACCGGAGCGTCCGCCACTAAGCAGGCCGCTACCACTACCAGCAAGGCCGCTGCTGCGCCCACCAAGAAGGCATCTACTGATGGATCCTGCGCTGGAACCTCTGGCTTCACATGCTCTGGCTCCTCTTTCGGAAACTGCTGCTCCCAGTACGGTTGGTGCGGAAGCACCACCGGTCACTGCGGTGCTGGCTGCCAGGGCACTTTCGGTACCTGCAACTAAGTTAACCAATTGGTGACTTTCCCTTTCTGTTCCGTTAGAAGTAATGCGCCCACATGAGGGGGCTATCTGTACATTTGTATCAACATAGGGCGGCGTCAAGCCTGTCAATGACATGACGAGGTCAAAAAAGGAGCGATTTCACATCCACAACCGTGTTCTCATACAATGAAACTTTTGTACTTCATCAGATTAAAACCACTGCACAAACCTGTATACCAGGTGTTGCGAGTAGGCTGGGAACGAAGAGTAGATGTAGAGACTCGCATTATCGAAGCATGAAAAAGCATAAAAACTATCAATAGACATCAAACACTCAGTATCTTTCATGGAACCCCTCATTCGGCCATTCAAGACGAGCTTATCGCAAGATTTGTAACAAAGTCGGCTTACTGCCACATCACTGGTTCCTGCACCAAAGGCACTGAGAATATTTGTGCTGGCCAGCAATTTCATTGAGGAGCGAGTGTGTTTAAACTACCATCAAGGAGATACATGCAAGTCGCTCGTGAGAGCCGTCATCCCAGTCTACACCAGACACTGCAGGTCTAATGTTGATGGACCATGTCCCTCCGAACACTCCATTCTCGTCCATTTCTCAACCCGAAATGGGCATCAAAATGTCAGCTATCGTCGTTTACTCGGGGCAAAGGCCGTTCTCAGTCAAGAAGTCGCCAAGAGCATCGACGCATCCAGCGCAGCTGCAGAGCTGATTCAAGTCAGTGGGAGTGGGTACTGGAAAGACAATGGGAGGAAATACCGAAGGAGCACCACCGGAAACACAGGCAACGACTGCGGCAACGCCAACGGGTCCGGTTGCGATACCTCCTGCGATGCAGAAAGCGGCACCGATAACAGCAGCGCAGTCGAAGATGCTGCAGTCGGCTTGCTGGGCAGCAAACTGAATGGCACTAGTCATCTGTTGGCTCTCGCGCTTGGCGATCTCGTTGGGAGCGGCGGCAGCGAGGCCAGCAAGGGCGGCGATGGTGACGGTGGAGAAACGCATGTTGATGGTTTGAGGAGGTTTTGAGGAGGTTTTGAGCGAAAGGCTAATAATGTAGTGAAGGTAATGATGTTGTGATGTTGAAGCTTGGTGGGTTCTTTCAGGTCGACTTCTGGCCGTCCTTTATACTTTCTCGTCCTCACATAGTCCTCGTTCTCTCTCCATCACCGCTGACATCGACCGGTCAACTCTCCCAGTCCTCTCGGACGCGCACAAAGTTATCACTGTCCCGAATTGGGTTACAGTCTCGGGCTTGAGAGCCTTCCTGAGGCTATTACTACATAACTGGCCGTCATTCTGCCCACTCAGCGTTCTGCGACTACTCACCGCAGAGCTTGACTGATATTCATGAGGCGCACACGGTGTTTCTCGACTGGCAATGACGGTGGTGGTAAGCTGATCGCATAAGGGGTGGAGGTGTTCGGGCGTCGAGACACAAAGACAGTGTTCTGGGCGATGACTATGTGCATGCAGCAACCGGCATATGAAGTTCGCAGAGTAGAACTACTATGGTGATTCGTCGTCGTGATAATCTCAAGCACCTTGGCGGGATCAATGTAGTGAAGATCGTCCTAGGTTACACGACAGTTAATATGGCTATATTACTAGGGCTGGCCCGGTCAGACACTTACTAACTGCTTCTCCAGTACATCGTATGTCTTACATCGGCCTGCGGGGGAGGCGCTACTTACCCCGAAACGGTTGTGGCTGGGGAATCTGCTACCGAAAGCGGCCGCAGTAAGGTTGACCGCACATGCTGGCTGACCACTGATTGAAGCCATTTGCCAGCACCAGGCGGTCAAAAGAAGTTGGGCTGCTTAGTTATCTTGGCTCTCATGCAGCCATCACTTCCATGCAGCCAGCACCTACCTAGGTAGGTACCCGCAGCGCCTTCAGCCTCTGCCGTGACTTTAATTCGAATGCCGATCCCATTGAGACAGACTACATCGTCGCGTTATTTCTTCAGAGTGCTCGTATAGAATGCGACTTCGCTGTTGGTAGCTTTCTATTAGTAGAGTGGAAGGTAAATCCTTTCTTCGATCGACATTCACGTTGCATGTCTTGAACCAAGGTGCCAGGCCACATTATCTCATTCTCGGCCTAGATCTTGGTGAGCACGTAAGGGAAGAGGCGTGTAGATCTATCTTAACGATTAGTGGAGAATGGCAAGTCCCGATGTCACCTCAGCATGCGGTAGAGCGGGCAGTCTCTACCCAGTCTTTGAGTAGTCAGAACTACTGTACCGCCTTATACAAGGGAAAAGCTGAACACCCTAGAGGCTACATCAAGGAGAAAAACTACAAAATAGGTGGCCTAACATCGATGTAGGCTCCAGACCTGTTCAGGTTTTCCCTAGATTAACTTGGTGCTCGCAGAATGAGCAGCCCCACGTGTTCGGCTCGTCGCCCACATGCTATAGTTCATTAGACTCCCGAGGTCTGTACCCTAGTCAACAAGGTGTAAGAAGCTGACTTCAAGCGCTCGGTCCACAAATAAGTAAGCAGATCGCATGCGAGAATACGAAAGCACACACCTTTCTTCTAGTCAGCATCTGCCTAACACGGTCGGATAGAGATGATCTCGGAAATGCAGAGATCTGAGCATCCAGAGAATACAGTCCTTCAACTGAGACGAGTGGCAACATAGCTATGCTAGAGCCCCACGATACAGCTATGCGCCCTTGACCCTCTTATGTTCAGCTGTATTTGAGTGGGTCTGCACGTGGAAAGCGATCTATGGACAAACCACTCATAGTTTCAGTCACATATCGGCGAAATTGTCCTTTGTGGTGTCCATAACCCATCTTCCATTCCAATGCGCCTGTTCTGATGCGTAGAAGAACTTGTTTCGTGGGACCTCGAGGTGGACGGACGTGATGTTGTCACTTCACTCCTGGTACTTTGCCAACGCCAGTGCGCGAGCAAGGAACCCCGCGGCTAGCTGCAAGAATACGGTAGACTTGTCGATGGCATCGTAGAACCTGTTGCGGCATTTCAGTTCCACTTCCTTGCAAGTAAGGCGGAGAGACCGGATGTCGCAAGAGGATACACCATTATTGTCGAGAACCCAAAGGAAGAGTTCCACTGGAAGGTTTGGAAGTGATGCAGCAGGATGTCGCGATGAATCTGGCATTGCTGGATAATCGTAGCGGGGGAAGTCTACTGATAGAATGACATTCTGTTTGCTCATGCCGTTCTACGAGCATAGTGGTGATGGTTTTTGTGTTGTGCTTGGTGACGCAGATGAACTTTTCGACTATGGATCTGCGTGGACCACTCAGCCGGACGATCGCCTCTTCGGATCGAACCCGAGACATCAAAAAATGGCCCCAGGCCGATCGGCTCTGGCCCCCGTAAGTATTCTTGCCTTACTTTCTCAGCGCATGCTAATAGAAGGCGCAGGTTGATACCCCCGTCCCATCTCTCCACGGCCCTCCCTTGCACGCCAACCTTAGAAAAATCTGAGCACCCTGGAGTCTACGTTGATGTTAGGTCACCTACTTTGCAAGTTTTTGTCTTGATGTAGTCTGCAGACCTGTTCAGCGTTTTTCTTGTATGAGGTGCTCGTACAGACTGATCCGTGCATTACCAGCCGACGAGCTCGATGACGATTTGCTGGATGACGACTTTGACCATATCAACGCCGCCGCAGATTCACTCACGGAGGGCGACAACACGGAAGTTTTTGAGTATCAGGTCGACGGTCATGCTGTCCACGTAGGGACCTTGTACTTCCACCCGGAAAGCCGGTTCACTCCCTGCTTCGTAAAGACGGGGGTAAACGTACTCTGAGGCATAGTCGGATCGGCTGCGCATAGCAGACAACGCAACTCCTCTGTGCCACCAATCGGTTCGTCCGCCTTGTCGATCCAGCGCCTGACAAACACCTCCCATTCCTCGAATGTTGCGTCGCCTTCTTCGGGTCCGGCCATGAGCATTTGGCCCTGCGAAAATGCCTTCCATGCCTCAGTCTCCTCTTGTTCATGCCCCAGCGCTTCGGTGTCAATCTCTTCGTCATCATCTCCTCCGAACTCCATTCCCTCTACTCGCCTGTCCATCTCTTAGCTGCGCCCCGACCTATCCTCCTGCAGTGTCTTGCGCAATTTGTCTTTCGCGCGTTAAGTAATACCTCTCTGCTCATATTTGCGCAGGATGAGGTGTTCTTCGAGCTTCTTCCTTATCTCCACCAGATCAGGCTGGTTGGCACTCTCTGCCAGCGCTCTGTACCTTACGACGTTCTTGGCTTTTATCTGGTATGGTTCGTCGTGGGGGAGGTGGCCGTGGGCTTGAAGCGTCTCGTGCGTTTGTTTAAGGATTTTGTGGAGTTCGGCCTTGAGCTTCTCGCACTCTGGATCTGAGGTGACGAGCTGGCGTGCGCGTGCGTCGATCTCCTCTTTTAGCGACCGACCTGATGACTCTGCTGATGCATTCCTATTCCACTGTAGGCCCACGAGATCAATAAACGTCATTTGCATGCGAGGAGGCTGAGTAGGCAGGAGGATACGCAAAGAACAAGTACTTACCAGTCTGTTCGACGGCGAAAAGAACTTGCGGATCGACGCGCTCGTGAGCCCCACACCGCCCAGCCTAAAGGAGGTTACGTCTCGCCTCCCGAAACCGTGCTGGTCGTAGTTGAGCATCGTGGTTGGGTTGGTGGGGGCATGGTTGAGCAGTGCCATGGCCTCTTCGGTCGAGTGCATGTTCTTGGCTTCCTGTGCGGCTTGTCGTCTGAACGCGTACATTGAGACGTAGCAGAGAATGCCGATAGAGAGACAGAACTGCTGCAGCTTCCCGTTAAGGGCCCTTGCTCGCATCTCCTGTTCGACGAGGAGCTCACACTCGGTATTTGCCGCGACGAGTACAGCCTGCTTGGCCACTTCCGGCCTAATTGCGGGGAATCGATCTGAATATTTGCTGAGAAGGACATCGAGATGGTCTACGAACAATCCGCGAGTATACGCTATGGAAGGTCAGCGTATGAAACTGGTTTCTCGGCGTCCACGCCTTACCTTCAGCAAAGAGGAGCGCGCTCCAGTCGAGGTGGAGCCGTTCCTGTTTGCGGGCAAAGAAGAATCGGCGCGCGCCTTGCTCGTTCCTCTGGTCATGCGGATCGTTGCTTCCCTTGAGATAGTGGAAGGTGACAACACAGCAATATTCCTGGTCGAACTTTTCGAACTTGAGGTCTGACCACCTCGACTTATGAGATTTGGCGCGGGTGGGCATGGACGCACTTATTGCACCTCCGAGCGGTGCACCTTTGTGGTAGCCTTTTCCAACAGTGATGCTGCCAGGTCGCGCAGACGTGATGTACGAGAGTATCCACGCTATATAATGCTGCTTGGTATTGAGGACACCTTCATGTAGCGACATTACCTCTGCGAAGAGAAGGCCCAGCTGAAATTCTCCCAATTCATTCTTTTCACGGTGCTGTGTCGAAAGATCCTGCTCAACTGCTACCATGTGGATATGCCTCAGCACTCGAGTGCGATACTCACGTTCGATGGTTGCGAAGTTGGGAGTGTGGATATCGATCCAGTACTGAAGCGCGTACTTATGACCGTAAAGCGTTCTGGTCTGAAAGAAGTCAGTCACTGTCCAACGTGGGGATATAGATAATACATGCCTTGATCTTCTCTGATAGTGCGCCTTCCAAAACGGTCGCCATGCACTCCAGGAAACCACAGACATGATCAATAAGGGTCTCGCAGGCGTACATTATCGGTTCGTCGTCGATATCGTAAACGGTCTTGGAGTACTCGAAAAAGTTGCTCCGCGCGAGTTTGCGATGGTCAATGGTTGTAGGCGCTGATTTATCATAAAATCTGGATCTCTTGGCGGTGATTCTGAACTCTTCCTTGCGCTCGTTGGTCAGTCCAGCCAGTCGTCATGCCATGCGTGAGGAGGGCGGCGCAGGTGGTGGTAGCGTCGCCATAGCGTTCTACTGCCCAGGTAGACTGCGGAGGGTGGAGGGGTGGTAGAGGTCTTGGGGGTCGGATGCGCGGAGGGGTATCTTCTAAACCAATCAATGCTTCGGGCGGGTGAGAGGCCTGCTTGGGCAGGTGCTGTTCGTTGATGATGGGCGTGGGACGCCGGGGAGCTACTGCGTGAGGATAACTTTGACCAGTACTGCGTCGGGCTGTTGGGACGCTTGCGTGTGTCGGTGCTGTTGGAGGAGAAGGATAGAACGCTGAGAAACTAATGAAAGCGACTGCAAGGGACTAGCGGTGAAAAATGGTGAGTGCACATGCAGTGTTTGAGTAGGTAAGGTTTGCTTGGCGCGTGGGTTGGGAAGGTGCGACGCACCACATCCTATCTCACCTCGCGGCATCTGCTCCCTCTTCGCTTCTTCTCTGTCAATCTTCGTCCTCTTCCTACCATATACCCGGTCCTTCTGATTTATGTCTGCCAGTCGTTTTCGCCGCGTCCATTCGGTTCTTCCCTTCTACTGATCCTTACCCGCGTTGCGTCCATTTCCTTATTGCATTTTGCCCGCTTTCCACTTGCTGATGCTTAGCTGCACCGCCTAAAGTTTGCATATCGCATCTGGCATTACTTCGCTGGCTCGGTACTTCACTATCCTACGTCCACTTCGAAGAGATGGTGAACAACGAGGCGCTCGAGCGCAGCGGCGATGGCATCAACGAGAAACTTACAGGCTTCAATGCCCTGGCGACCAAGGACAAGATGAAGCGATTCCTCGTTGAACTGAACGCCACCATCCCCAGGTTCAAGGACCAGGGTACGGCTGACTGGGAGCAAACCCGAGCTAAAGAGCCGGTATCGCGAGTACCTCGAAACGGTATGATCGTGCATCGCTGCATCTACTCCTCGTCCGCTAACTGACCTTCCTTGCAGTCCGCCGAGCTGTTTGTAACGAACACTCCTACAACACCCTCAGCGAAGCGCCCAGCAGCGGCATCGCAGCTAGCGGCATCGCAGCCAGCGGCATCAAAGCGCGTAAAGCGTGCAGCACAAGCAGCAGACGGCGGAGACAGTAGCGAGCAGGCCGGCGACGACCCCCAAGCCACTATGCCAAGTATGCTCTCGCGTCTATTTGTGACAGACGCAGTGCAGCTCTCGACACCTATACTGGCCTGTCTCAACGCCCTGGGGTCTCCGCTGAGTGCTGTCGCGGTGCAGAAGCAGGACAGCGATGACTTGACGACCAGCCTCTCTCCATTGGTTGAGCCCATCTCTATGCTCATCGCGGCTCGGGACTCCATCATACCAACACACAGCTACCTCGATAACTTCGGTCGGTTGGCTGTTGCACTACGCAAGCACCCAGTCACTGCCCCGGCCTGCCTTGGACCCTTCCTCGCCGGTCTAAACTTCACGCTTGTCGAGAGCCAAGAGAACGCAGAAGAGTCGGGGGACACCAGCACGAGCCACCAAGAGGCTGCAGTCCTAGCTGAACTGGACGTCCTCTCGAACGAGGTCAACCGCGCTTTCGAAGTGTGGCGTGCCAAGTTCCCCCCGCCACCTTCCGACTCGTTGCTGTACCCAGTCGACTTTGACAAGGATGAGAGGATAGCACTGAGAGCATTTGGCAGAAAGTACATTACGAAGAACCCCAAGCTCGAAAAGAAGGGGGCGGCGAGAGCTGTCTTGCTCGCTGCCTACAAGGAAATATTGGCAAGCTGGCCGGTCGAACGAGGGGGGTCGCTGGCGTCGGCAAAGAGCGTGTTGGTAGAGGCAAGAAAGAACGTCGGTCTACTCAAGGGCAAGCCTCTGTCTAGCAATACTCCTGATTATGAGATGGGCGATGAGGAGGAGGACCACGGGGAGGCGCCATGCGCGGAGTACGAATGAGAGGACGGCTGGGGAGACGACTGGGAGGGCGACTGGGAGGACGACGATGAGGAGTAACAGAGGGTTAACCTGCTATCGCCAAGGGAGTAGTGAATCGGGCGCACTTCAAGCGTACGCGTCTTCGAGAACACTGTCGACTTAGTAATATCTGCATACTTCTAATATTCTCAATTTTGTTTGCGTTGTGAAATGGATGTGTGAGGCTGTGCTGCTGCACAAGGTTCTCCGTGTGGTAGTGTTGAGGCGCTCAGATCTCAGACTGGGTGTTGAAGGGCCAGAAGGAGGAAATGGACTCGTATCTTCGAATGGGGGTATCGTCCTTGATCGCGCGCATGCGTCCCGATATCCTGTTTGTTATGCTGAATGTAGGTTGTACAGAGGGAGTCAGGGACGACTTGTGCGATCATGAACGCATGGTTGTGTGTGGGTCGCGGAGCAGGGCGCTCGCGAACTCTGGTACAGTCGCTGCCCCATGGTACTCAGACAATCACTACAATAACTTATTAGCGAAGAGCCACACAACCCTATGACAGTCTTGACGACAGGAGCTACATGTACAGCCCTGCATCAGATGACAACAAGGACAATGGATATCCAAGTCACACCAACAGGCCGCTGGGCATCTAGCAGTAGATTATTGTCGCAGAATCAGCCGTTCTCGGCGAACATGCCGAGGCCAACGTCTATGTTATCGGCAAGCTCCTAAAAGATGTGTTTTGGGAACAGATTAACCAGGGTTCATCTAGATAGCGGGCGCTCTTGCAGCCGTTCTGCCAACTGCGATATTCTGTTCCAGCCCGCCACAATAGCGCGATTCTCTTCGCAGCACTATCTAGAGAATTGTTGTAAGTACATTGCGAAGTCATGGCATGCATTCTAGCAGAAAAAAAAAACTTTTCAGCAAAAAGAAGAAGTTGCCTTCGGCCAGAATTGAACTGACGACCTCGTCATCACGTGACGTCCCTTTCGGGGCTAGCTCGATCCAAGTTGGATCTAGCGTTACTAGTGACGCGCTCTACCACTGAGCTACGAAGGCGACGATGAGGATTTTTGAAACTGAGAAACATATAATGGGCGTTTTCTTTTGTGCTCTTTCTATTGAGGTCAGAACGGACTCGAACAGACGCAGTAGTAGTTGTAGTGTGCTCTTTCTTCGTGACGGACGTCGGAACACCAAACCCACAGCAGCCGCACTCGCTTAGCTTCGGGTGGGGAAGTCGCATATTTCGGAAAAAAAGAGGAGCGTGAACAAGTCTTTCTACTGAGCAGAGCCATGGGCGTGAGATAGAGCAGTTCCAGATTATATACGTCTCGTGGCGCCCCCTATCTGTCAAGCGTCGCGCTTTGTTGTTCTATAGGCACGTTCGACAAAAGAGGAACACGCTAGCTTTCACACAGGGCTACTGCTGGTAGCTTCATTTCGCGATAATCATAGTCGGAGTTACTTCACAGCAGCGAATAGATACCCTTGCTACTTAGACTCATTCGCGAAGAGAGTCGCGTTGGATCAGCGTCGCGCTGTCTTTGTCGAATGAGACGCAATCACAGTTTCAGTGCCAGCGCGCGTGGCAGCGAACTACATCAACACGATCGCATCAGCGACGTAAGCGCATGACATTAGCAAGACATGCAAATATGATGTAAATGAAAGCACGGGGTGGATCTCCGAGTTTGTGTGGAGGTGGATCTGGGGCGGATGACCAGTTAAGCGCAAGCTCATTCACATGCCACCGCGAGCCCGCCAAGGCACCAAATTAAGAACCTGGCGATTGAGCCTCTCCCGCTGATCGCGTTCCTTTCTGCCAAAACCCCTTCAAACACGACTTCTCCCAACACCGCGACACTTCCACTAGACAGATTTACTGCCAGGCTCCGAATCCTGGCTTCGACCATTACCATTCCCAATATTCCACTACAACCATCTATGGGCTCTGCTTCCTTCGCCGCGACCGCTTTCCTACCCACCGCTCAGCTTACCGCAGTTGGCTCTTTCTTCCCCTACACCGCACTGAGCTCAGGCCTAAACAAGACGGACGCCTCCTTCGCATCGCTGGTCCGGCTAGGGGTAGGAGTTCCGCCGTGAATCTTCGCGGCGGACTGTAATATTGGTTTGCCCAAGACCGGCGTTGGATGTGCGCGAACTCCTCTCCGAAGCGTGCGCAAATGCTGACTTGAGCAGAATACGGGCGCAGCTTGGAGAGTGACAACTCTTTATCGCATTACCCCTCACTACCGTTACAATGGTTTTCGCATTCGACCAGAACGATGCCCAACTTCCGGCCAACGCGCCGCGAAACCCTGAGCCTGCCATGCCCGAAGAGGACAGGTTCGCTTCAGGACCCATGGACATGAGCCCGCCCAAAGCGCCCCTCCACGTAGGAACCCCGCCGATCAACATCGTCAGTCCTATGCCACAGCGCGCAGTGCAGCCCGGCCCCGAAGGCAAGCAGCAGGGACCAGACAAATTGGATTTCGATGCCGTGTTCAAGAAGGCCCAGAAGAACAAGAAAAAGAAAAAGAAGGGTCTGAAAGCAGGACTACAAGCTACAAGCGTCACCCGGGGTTTCCACACTCCAGTCACGTCTGGTGGGGAGGAGTCGGACTACTCTCTGGCCACTACACCGCGCTTCGGACCTGTGCGCTCTGGACTTCCCAGCGTCACCAGCAGCCCAGCGCTTAGACCCCAGTCCACTGCGGGAGGCATCAGCAACCTCAAAGCCCAGCTGGAGGCGCTGAACCTAGGCCCAAGGAGCGATTCACCCATGAAGGATTCCCCAGGAAAGGGTGTCGCTATGAGCAGGGTCACATCGCAGTTGTCGAGCAACACGAGTATGTCCGGCCGGGAAAGTGACAGTGACCGCACGGAGATGGAGAGCTACGAGATCGACCTCAACGCAGAAGACTTCAGCATTGACACGCTCTCCAAGGCGTCGACCATGTTGAACAGTGGCATGGCGCGCAAGATGACGGCCGAGGACTTTGAGCCGTTGATGTGTCTGGGCAAGGGCAGCTATGGCACTGTCTTGCTGGTCAGGCAGCGCGCGACAGGCCGCCTGTTCGCGCAAAAGCAGTTCAAGAAGGCGTCCATCACCGTGCATAAGAAGCTCATCGAACAGACCAAGACGGAGCGAAATGTCCTTGAGAGCGTGAACCGTCACCCCTTCATTGTCAACTTCTACTACGCCTTCCAGGACCAGGAGAAGCTGTACCTCATTCTGGAGTATGCCCAAGGCGGCGAGCTGTTCCACCACCTCGCTGCTGAGCGCATGTTCTCCGAAGACGTGGCCGCCTTCTACATGGCTGAAATGGTGCTTGCGCTCGACCACCTTCACCGCACAGTCGGCGTCATTTACCGCGACCTAAAGCCAGAGAACTGCCTCCTAGACTCCGAGGGCCACCTGCTCCTTACTGACTTCGGCCTGAGCAAAGTCAGTCTTGACGAAGACAGCCCCTGTCGCTCCATCCTCGGTACCGTAGAGTACATGGCTCCAGAGGTTGTTCAAGGTCACGAGTACGGCGCGGCAGTCGACTGGTGGTCCCTAGGCGCACTCGGCTTCGATCTTCTCACTGGCGCTCCTCCCTTCACTGGCAACAATAACGCTAAGATTCAGGAAAAGATTGTAAAGCAGAAACTCGCCCTGCCTTACTACCTCAGCGCCGACGCCAAGGACCTCCTCACTCGCCTCCTTCGCAAAGATCCCAAGAAGCGCCTAGGCTTCAACATGGCCAAGGATCTGCCGAACATCAAGAAACACAGGTTCTTCCGCAAGATCGATTGGAAGAAGTTGGAAGCGAGGGAATTGGAGCCGCCGATTCAGCCACTCATCACGGATCCGGAGTTGGCGGAGAACTTTGCCCAGGACTTCACCGACCTGCCGCTGAGTCCTGTTCTGACGAAGAAGTTTGACGACTTGATGTTTGAGAGTCAGGCTTCTAGCAATCCTTTTGGTGGGTTCAGCTTTGTGGCTAGCCAGAGCCTGTTGGACAGTGGAGAGTGGGGATATTAGAGGGATAGGAGGATTATTGGCTTTAGTGTTTCTTGTTTCCTGCATGCTTGTTTAGCTCGTTGTTCTCGAAAAGATCGTAATAGAGCACCATCACTATGCGATAATACAGGGTTCAAGATCAATGGTTACTAGATAGAATTGTGTTTTCGTAGGTTGCTGAACCATCTTATTCCAAACTCCGTGCTCGTGCCGTCATCGGTATCATGCGCAAGTATTCATACAGACTGTAAACCAAGTGGGAATCGTTGAATCGAAAGAAATGTCGTTCCAGTCCTCCGCCCTGAGCACTTAAGGTGTTTGTATCTAGGAGGTGGGGGCAGCGGCGGCGGCGTAGGACTCGCCGCTCTTCTCGTTGCTACCCTCGGCGGGCTTCTCGCTGCTCTCAGTAGCGACACCACCCTCACTGGCAGGCTTCTGCTTCTTAAGGTCGGCCAAATGCCTAGCCTCGTTGTGGACGTCCATGACAGTCTTGTTACCCTGCTCGTAGAAAGCACGGAGCTTCTGTCCGGTGGGTGTTGAAGCAGCCTTGTCGAAGTAGCTGGTCATCATGTTGAAGGCAGCGTAGCCCTTGTTTGTTATGCCCAACTTTTGGTCGACGACTTGTGCCTTCTGTGTAGCCTGAGTCTTCTGGTCGAAGTTGTTGAGGACGTTCATGAACTTGGTGCTGTAGCCGTTCTGCTTGTCTGCTGCGAGAGCCTTCTCGATAGCGGTGTCGGAGATGGCATAGCCGTGGGCGAGGTACTCGGCGATGATGCGTGCGCGGGGCTTCTGCTCCTGCTCGATGTGGTGGTCGCCGTCCTTGGCGTCGTCGGCGGAGGCGGACTTCTCGCCGGCAATCTCGTCGATGCTCTTAGCAGACGTGACCTGGACCGAGTTGTGGCCGAGCTGTGTGTTGTCGAGGAGGAGGGCGGTCTTTGCGGCGGCGGCCTTCTCGAAGGTAACTGAGGCAGACTGGGTGTCGTCGCCTGAGGGCTTTACGCTGAGCGACTGGAT